GGCGTCCGCGCCCCTGAGCACGGTGAAGATGTTCTATCATGTGAGCAGGGCGTAGGGCGGCGGCGAGGGTGGTCGAGAGGAGGAACGAGGCTGGGCGCTGGGAGTAAGGGGCCACTTCCGCTCCTTGCCCTCGCCGCACCCCAGGCTCACTCCATCCCGCTTTTCTCTCAGATCTCCCTGGAGCACGAGATCCTGCTGCACCCGCGGTACTTCGGTCCCAACTTGCTCAATACGGTGAAACAGAAGCTCTTCACCGAGGTGGAGGGGACCTGCACCGGGAAGTAAGTGCCGCGTGCCTGTAGCCGCGTCCCCACTCCTCCTTGTGCAGGGGCTCCCATCCCCTCTGAGAAGCCCTCTCACAGCCCCAGGCAGCCAATTGCTTAAGATTGCGCTCCCACGGCTCCCTCTGCAAGGCTGCATAACAGAAAAATCGTTCATTCAGCTCAGGTTGGTCATTCATTCACTGCGCAAAGCGTATTTAAAACTTTTGCTTTGGGGGGAGTCAGCAGGTGGCATGGTGGTTAAGGCACTGGATTCCCACAGGGCTGACTGGGGTTGGAGTCCAGGACCAGGCGACTTGCTTTCTTGCTTTCTCAGTGTTGAGCTTATGTGCCCGATAGCAAAATTTTAAAATAATAAATAAAGTTAAATAAACAATTAAAGACAAACAAACATACATTTTTGCTGTGTGCCAATCCCTGGAAACATGAAATGAAGAAGATAGGAGTGAAGCTAGCCCTTATGGAGCTCACAGTGTAATCACTATTTGCATGTCTGGTTTCTCTGTGTGATTCAGTTCTGGCTTTTGCTATTCCCTGGATATCTCCTTTTGACACTTAATATGTTTACCGGCCTAGTGATCAGGTAAAGCAGATTGAGAGTTTAGAGGGAAGGAAGACAGTCTTGGGCTCTGCATAGATGGGCCTCTAACTGGGTGATGCCAATGAGCTGGGGACTCATCTCAAACAGTGAAGTACTTTGGCCTCCAGGATCAGAATAACCTGGAGCATTTCTCCAACATACTGGTATCTCATCCCTGCAAAATGAAGACTCTGTAAGCATTTCAGAGAATCTGAATTTCAACCAGTTCTTCCTACATGATTCCAAAGCATCACAGTTTGAGGTGGATTGGTTCAAGGACTGGCCGTTTATTGTGAGATTACAAGAACAATGTTTGACCTCATAGTTACTGATCTATGTCCCATCTTCTCTCTTGATCAGTAACCTCTCTTGGGGCAGGGATGCCATCTACTCCTTTTTGCTCTCCCTAAGACCATTCATTGGCTCGTTGACTTCTGATGCAGGTGGCTTTAGAATCTCTTCCACACACAGTGCCTTTGTCTTTCTCATCCTTGCAGGTATGGCTTCGTCATTGCTGTGACTACCATTGACAATATCGGTGCTGGTGTGATTCAGCCAGGCCGAGGCTTTGTCCTTTATCCAGTTAAGTACAAGGCCATTGTTTTCCGGCCCTTTAAAGGAGAGGTTGTGGATGCCATTGTCACTCAGGTCAACAAGGTAAGACCATAAATAGGGGAGATGGTGGGATGACCCCTCAGAATATTTGGGTTGGGACCATTAGGTATCATGGTGGCTGAGGTGGTGGATTCCTACATGGCCAACGGCAGTTTGAGTCCTTGGCTTGGCAGCTTGTTTTCTCACTTTCCCTCTTTCTCCCTCTCTGGTCAAATTAAAATACAATAATAAATAAAATTGAATAATTCTTTCAAAAAGTAAAAGAAGATTTGGGTTGATTCCTTTTATCTCTTCCTAATTCTGTTTGTATCCTGCTTTCCCTCTGACTCTGCTGTTTTCCTTCTTTGTGCTTGTTTTCTTACCTTTCCCATTATGTGGTACTCTTGCCCTGCCTTGACCAGGGGCATGTGAATCAATTTTTTAAAAAAATTTTATTTAATTATATTGTCATTTTTTATATTTTATTTATTTATTTATTTATTTATTTATTTTTTGGAGAGATTTTTGCTATAGGGCGCGTGCGCTCACCAGACAGACAGAGAGAGACATAGAGACAGAAAGTGAGAAATCACTCCCCAGGGGGGATGGTCACACCATTCTCTTTCATTCTCCTCTTGGGATCTTGGGCATGCACGCACACGCGCCCGACATGAGTTTTAAGCCACTGGGTCCAGGACACGAACTGCGGTCGACTACATGGGAGTCTAGCGACATAGCCATTACGCTGACTGCTGGTTCCCTATATTTTATTTTTTTGAAGTTGACGTGAGAGAGAAGGAAAGCAAGAAAGCAAGCTACCAGGTCCAGGACTCGAACTGTGGTCAACCATGTGGGAGTCCAGATGCCTAACCACCACACCACCTGCCGGCCCCTCGATTTTTTTAAAAAGAGTTCATTTTATTAATTATTACTTGAATTTGCTATAGGGTATGCACACTCACCAGAGAGAAGGGGGTAGAGAGAGAGAGAGAGACAGAGAAAGTGAGAAAGCAGGGGACCATAAGATGGCGTAATGGTTATATCGCTGGATTCCAGTGTAGTCCACTATGGTTCGATTTCCAGGATTCAACAACTTAAAATTCACATGTGTGTGTGCATACCCAAAGTCCCAAGAGGAGAATGGAGGAGAAGGGATTGTGGTATGGCCACCCCTCTGGGGAGGGGGCTGATTTCTCACTTCCTATCTCTTTCTCTCCCTGGTGAGTGCACACACCCTATAGCAGAAAATCTCTCTTAAAAAATAAATGAAAAGAAAGAGAATAGCTGCCAGGTTTCAGGAGTTGAACCACAGTCAGCCATCTGGGAGTGCAATGCCTTAATCACCGTGCCACACCACCTCCCAGCCCTTGCAAATCGATATTAATAGTTATATTGTTGGGTCGGCAGGTGGTGTGGTGGTTAAGGCACTGGAATCCCACATGGTCAACCACAGTTCAAGTCTCAGACCTGGCGGCTTGCTTTTTCACTTTTCCTTTCTTTCTCTCTAAAATTTCTAAATTTAGAGATAGTAATTAATTAATTTAATTAATTTCTAAAATTTAGAAATAGTAATTAATAAAAATGAATAAATAATTCTTTTTAAAAAATCATATCCTTAGAAACCTACATTGATTAAGTAATTACTGTAAGCCAGGTAACATGCAAAAACCTCCCAAAGACTTAGGCAGATGTTTCTTTTTGTTTCTTATGGAAGCTGCAGCTTAGATAAGTGTCTTAGGCAAGATCATGTGGCCAACAGGTTTTCAAATCTTGGACTAACAAGCCCCAGGCTTAAACTTTTTATTTTATTATAGGACACATGTGCCCACTAGAGACAGGAAGAAAGGGAGAAAGTGAGAAAGCACCACTCAGGATTGGCCTTGCCACAGTCCCTTCTCCTCCAATCTCTTTTTGGGATTTTGGGTACATATGCACACCTGGCTGTGGTTTCTTTGTTTATTTATTTATTTAAAGATTTTTGCCATAGGATGTGTGTGCTCGTTGGAGATAGAAAGACAGAGATAGTGAAATGGAAAGTGAGAAGTCACCCCCCAGGTGAGATGGCCATGCTACATTCCCTTTTCCTCCATTCTCCTGAGATTTTGTGCATGCATGTACTTATGCCCAGTGAGATTTTTAGGCCGCTAGGTCTGGGGCTCAAACCATGGTCCACCCTGTGGAGTCCAGTGCCTTATCCACTACGCCACCTGCTGGGCGAGGCCTAAACTTAAACTGTGCTATATTTGCTTAATTTAAAATGAAAGGGGGCCAGCTGGTGATGTTGGATTCTACATAGCCAACTGTACAGTGCGAGTCCCAGGCCTGGTGACCTGAGGAACATGCAGTGATTGCCTAAGGTCCCAAAAGGAGGGAGAAATGGAGAAGGGATTGTGGCATGACCAACCCTCATACTGAGTAGGGGTGCTTTCTTGCTTTCCCTTTTCTCTTTCTCTGTCTGGTGAGAGCACATACTCTCTGGCAAAAAAAAAAAATTAAGGAAAAAATAATAAAATGGAAAGTTAAGGAACCAGATAGCTATGTAACAGTAACACATAGTGTTTTGTGAGGTTGAGTCACATGGGAAGTTTAGGTTGTTATCTGGGGACCTCCCTGAATAAGCTGTTGCTTGTCCATAAGGAGCTGAAGGCTGGGAGTGGATCATGGTGTCAAGACCCTGTTGGGATGCTTTCTTTCTCTGTTGCTTATGGAAGGAATAAATGAATAAATGTCAAAAAAAAAAGTAAAGAAAAATAAAATTCATATTGGTTTTAAAACAAATAATATTTTTTGGAATCAGTCAGAGATGAGAAATTGAAAAGACTTTGGGAGACTGATATAAAACAAAAAACAAGATTGTTCATTTTTCTTCTAGGTTGGACTATTCACAGAAATTGGTCCCATGTCTTGCTTCATCTCTCGACATGTAAGTCTAGGCACTCTGAATGGGACTAAGGGAGAGACACACCCACTTGTAGCCATCTCTTGGTGCCTCCATTTAAAGTACTGACCCTGGCTGGCCCAGTGCCCTGGTAGTTGAGGGAGCTGGATACCATGTGGCCAGCTGCATGGTTCAAGTCCCAGACCTGGTGGGGGAAAAACATGCTGGGTGCATGTGCTTGCCCAAAATCCCACCTGGATGGACAGAGGAAGAGAATGGTTTGTGGTGTGACTATGCCCTGTTGAAAAGTGCATTCTCTTCCCTCTCTGTCAAGCACATGTGCCCTGTGGCAAAATTTAAAAATTAAAAAAATTAGTAGATAAAGTATTGATCCAATCTTATCTTTCTTTTAGTCCATCCCATCAGAGATGGAGTTTGATCCTAACTCTAACCCACCATGTTACAAGACAATGGATGAGGTAAGTGGGTAGGAGGAAGTCAGTGGGGGGGGAGGTGAGAATAAGTCACTCTGAGGGAGAGTATTGGCCTGGGGAATGCCTGAGTACACTGTTCCCTCCTTTCCCCAGGACATCAGCAGGATGATGAGATCCGCTTGAAGATTGTGGGGACCCGCGTGGACAAGAATGACATTGTGAGTCTTGCCTGCCTCCCTGCCCATACCAGGCAGAGCTGAGCCTTCTTGATTTCTTCCCACTCACAATCCCTGGGGGTTTTGTGCTCTTCTGCTAGGAAGATGGCATGGGTGGGCAGAAGACCTGGGGCTGGGGGGTGGTAGATGGCTCATTCACCTTGGCTTCCTTTCCCTTTTTACCTTCTCTTTGCAGTTTGCTATTGGCTCCCTCATGGACGATTACTTGGGTGAGTGCCTGATTGTGTAGACTCGGGCTGTTGCCTGGGGAAGGACTGTGTGGGTGGGGAAATGAATATAGGATTTAATGCCAGAGTTAGAGACTTAAGAAACTGTAACGCTGTGTCTTTGGAAGATGCAGGACATGTGTCTTTGGGATGAGAGGTACACAGTCTTGGCACCCCATGCTCTGGGTCTCACTGACATGCTTTTCCTGTTCTCACAGGGCTTGTGAGCTGAGCATGGGAACCTCACACCTTGCTTGGTCCTGATCTAGGAAGTCTGACAAGTGTCCGTCACACTTCTCGTTATGCAGAGACCCAGTCTGGCTGCTGTTGTGGAGACAAGGAAGTTTCCTTGCCCCCAAAAGACACCTGGCACTTCTGGCTTAGCTGCTGCTCTGGGATGTTTTCACTGTGTATTGTAACCATAAAAGATCCTTGGTTCTCATGGAAGTGTTCTTTCTTTTGGTAGGAACAACACCTCTTTTGCTTTTGTTTCTGTTTTTATCAAAGAGTCTGTGGGGCCAGTTGCTCACTAGCCCCTCTGCTCTAATGCCTCAACTAGCCCCAGCCACTCAGGGAATCTGACTGATCCCTTTCACCAAGGTCACAAACTGACCTCCTTGAAGGCAAGGCTCTGATGTTGTGTCTTCAGCTTCCTGCAGATGTTACTCTGGTAAAAGCTGTTCTGAGTCCTAATCTAGTTTCAGAGTGTTTGCCCTGCTCTTGCTGTTCAGAGTAACCAAGAGAGGGCCAGCTGGTGTGGTGCTGGTTAAGGCGGCTGGATCCCAGCCAGCTGGATACCATGGTTGGCTGCATGGTTTTGAGTCTTGGACCAACAGCCTGAAAATCATGCTAGGCACATGTACATTCATACCCAAAATCCTAAAAGGAGAAATGGAGGAGATGGGGTTGTGGCATGACCATCCCTGATGGGGATGGTTTCTTACCTTCCCTCTTTGTCTCTGGTAAGTACTGTCTCTGGCATGTGCTCTCTGGCAAATTAAACATAAAGATGGGGCCAGCATATGGCATGGTGGTTGGGGTACAAGGCAGACCACAGTTAAAGTCCAAGATGTGGTGGCTTGCTTTCTATCTTTCCTTTTCTCTCTTACTCTGGTCCAATTAAACATTAATAAATAAATAAAAGAAGAAAGGAGTTTAAAAAGTAACCAAGGGTCCAGCAGGTGGCATGGTGGTTAAGGCAATGGACTCCCACATGGTCAACTGCAGTTTGAGTCCCAGACCCGGCAACTTGCTTTCTCACTTTCTCTGTCTCCCTTCCCCCATCAAAGTAAAATAAATAAAGTTAAATAAATAACTATTAAAAGAATTATCTTGGGAACCAGCAGTTGGCATAATGGCTGTCGCTGGACTCCCATGTAGTTGACCGTGGTTCAAGTCCTAGACCCAGTGGCTTAAACTCATGCCAAGTGCATGTGCGTGTGTGCCCAAGATCCCTAGAGGAGAATGGAGGAGTAGGGATTGCGGCATGCCCATACCCCCTGGGGGTGATTTCTCGCTTTCTGTCTCTCTGTTTAACTCCTGGTGAGTGTACGTTGGGGGTGATTTCTCGCTTTCTGTCTCTGTTTAACTCCTGGTGAGTGTACGTGCTCTATAGCAAAAACCTTTCAAAAAATTATATTTACTTACGCATTTATTTAATGTCACCAGAGAGGGACAGTGAGTGAGAGAGAAAGTGAGGAAGCAAGCCATCAGGCCTGGGACTTGAACCACTTGAACCACGGTCAGCCATGTGTGAATCCAGCACCCTGAACCACCTGCTGCCCCCAATCATTCTTAAAAAAAAAAGATAACCACTGATAGAAAGAGGGGAAAGGAGACAGCAGATAGAGAGAAATGAACTAGAGAAAAGTAAGCTCAGAGAAGGTGGAGTCCCAACCTAGCCCTTCCTAAATTAGATGTATAAGCAACAGGAACCATAGGCCAGCCAGTGGTGTGGTTAGAACAGCTGTATCTCATGTGGCTGACCATGCAGTTCAAGTCCCAGACCTGGATGCTTCAAAAACACTCTGGGCTTGTGCGTGTGCATGTTCAAAATCCTAAGAGGAGAATGGAGGTGGAGGAGAGGGCATTGCAACATGGCCACCCCTCTGGGGAGTGCTTTCTCACTTTCTATTCCCCAACTCTGTATAGCAATTTCTTTTTTTCTCCCTATTACGAATTTAATTTAGAGGTGGGGCCAGCAGGTGGCATAGTGGTTAACTGTGCTGGACTCCCAGATGGCCCACTGCAGTTTGAGTCCTGGACCTGGCAGCTTAACTTTCTCACTTTCTCTTTCTCCCTCCCTCTCTGATCAAATTAAAATAAATAAATAAAATTTTAAAGCTATTTATTTAATTTTGTTTATTCATTTTAATTTGACCAGAGAGAGAGATGGAAAGTGAGAAAGCAAGCCACCAGGTCCGGGACTCAAACTGTCATCATCCATTGTGGAGTGTCCAGCGCCTTCACCACCATGCCACCTGCTGGTCCCTTTATTCCAAATTTAAAACAAACAAAACAGGAATCTTTATTTCCTGACCAATCACTGTACTAAACTGAATATGTAAGAGACTCATAATCTAGTTAAGGTAACAATAAAAATACATAAAATGCCTACAAAATTAGACATCCCTCTCTTCCCTCACACTGGACCTTTGCTATTTGTTTACCTTGGAATGCCATTTTCCAGTTTAGTACTCAGCACGTACTAATCTAGCAAATTATAGTTCAATGTTTTTCAGGTTTTTTTTTTTGTTTTTTTTTTAATTGCTGTAGGGTGCATGTGCTCGCTGGAGAAACAAGGAAAGTGAAAAAGCGGGAACCAACAGTTAGCGTAATGGCTATGTCGCTGGATTCCCACATAGTTGACCGCAGTTCGCATCCCAGACCTGGTGGCTTAGAACTCACGCCAGGCGCGTGTGTGTGCGTGCCCAAGATCCCGAGAGGAGAATGGAGGAGAAGGGATTGCGGCGTGACCATCCCCCCTGGGGGTTGATTTCTCGCTTTCTGTCTCTATGTCTCTGTCTGGTGAGCGCACATAATGAAAAACTATCCAAAAAAAAAAAAAAGAAAAAGCACCAGCAGCAGTGGCAGGATGATCATGCTGCAGTCCCTTTTCCATTCTCTTCTTGGGATTCTGGCCACACATATATGTGTCTGGCATGTTTTTCAAGCTGTTGGTTCTAAAACATGAACCGTGTAGTTGGCCATGTGGGATTTAGCCATCCTAACCTCCATGCCATGAGCTGACTCCAACTCTTTATTTCTCTATAGAGCACATGCACTTGTGTGGCGAGCACTGCATATGGAAGCCATCTTGAGCTATCCACTATCTTGGAAACCATTAGGCTTTACTTCCTTACTGAGCAAATCGTTTCTCAGAAATCATGTGACCAACTGTTCTCCCCGGAAGTGGTTGGGTTTCTAGGGCCAGAACACACTTGTGTGAATGAGGGGATGGCAGGAGTGATAAGTCACTAACTAGGCGGAATGGCCATATCGTAATCCATCTCCTGTGTCCTCTTGGGATTTGGGGCATGCAGGTACACACGCCCAGCATAATTACCAAGCTGCTGAGTCTGGGACTTGAACTGTGCAGCTGGCTGTGTGGGATCCAGTTGTCATTTTTTTTTTTTTTTTTTGGCTACAGGAATGAAGAGTCCCGTTTATTATTTTTTAAATAATTATTCTATGTGTTATTATTTTTCAGTTTGACCAGACAAAGACAGAGAGAAAGGGAAAGTGAGAAAGTAAGCTGCCAGGTCTGGGACATGAATCATGGGTCAGTCATGTGGCCATCCAGCACCCCCAGCCACCACGCCATCTGCCAGTCCCCGAGGACCCAGCTGTGTTAATCATGCTACCTGCTGGCCTCTCCAACTCTTCTGTTTTTCTTTTTAAATATCTTTGGGGGCCAATTCTCACTAGCCCCTCTACCTTGATGTGTTGCCTTGGCTAGCTAGCCTCAGCCACCAAGCGATCTTACTGGTCCTTTTGCCAAGGTCTAAAGTAGATCTCATTGAAGACAAGTCTCTGGTGTTGGGTTAACTTGGGATAATTTTGGTCCCTGTATTTGGCAATTACTGGAGATTTTGGTTGTCATAGCTGGCAGGGGAATGCTAGCTTGGGTAAAGGCCAAAAATGTTGCTGAACATTCTATAGGAGTCTCCCACAAGAAAAAAACTATTTGGCCTCAAACATCAGTTGCACTGAGACCCAGAAACCCTGATAGGATGTAATATCCAGGGCCAGCCCATGTTGTGGTTAAGGTGACTAGATCTCATGTGGCCAACTATATTTTTTTGACTCACTTACTTAGTTTTATTTATTATTCAATTAGACCAGTGAGAGTGAGAGAAAGCCACCAGGTCTGGGACCTGAATGGTGGTCAACCATGTGGGAGTCCAATGCCTTAGCCACTACATTATTTACCAGCCTCCTATACCCAGTATTTTGTTACTATATTTATTTATTGTCCAAAATGTTTTTTGCCATAGGGCAGGAGCCACCATACTCTTGTCTAAAATGTTTTGTATTGAAACTTGAAAACATCATAGGTTCACATACACCTCTTTTGTATTTGTGTATATGGCTCTCAGCACGGTACTAGATTTTCCAAGTTTGGTGAGTCCATAAAAGGTTGTGTGCAGGATTTGCAATATTTTCAGTGGAAACAATATTTCAGTTATTGATACTACTATATAAATAAGTAAATAAAGTTAAATAAAATAATTATTTTTAAAAAATTTTAGTCAAAGTAAAAATAAATAAAGTTAAATAAAATAATCCTTAAAATTTTTTTATATTTAAAATTTTTTATATAAATAAATATAATAAAATAATTAATTTATTTAACTTTATTTTTTTATTTTTAATTTGACCAGAGAGTGGCAGAATGAGAGAGGGAGAGAGAGAGGAAGTCGCCAGGTCCAGGACTGAACAGTGGCCAGTTGTGTGAGAGTCCAGCACCCTTAACCACCGTGGCACCTGCTGGCCCCAACTACCACAGTATATTATGAGTTGATTTCCAACTGGTTGTAAATAGGTTATAGGAGTTTCCTGGCCTCTGAACACTATGTGCTTCCTGAGTAAAATTCTTCCAAGTTCTCAAATGGTAATACAAGGAATAAGACCCAGAAGTAATGCTAGCCTGGACGAAAGAGACTGATGGATAGAAAAGCAGCTCAGGAGGCCTAAGCATGTGGGTGCTGGTGAGGATGGAAGGTGCACACAGAGAAGACTGTAACGAGAAGGTGAGGAAGTAGCATGGCCTAATGGCCTAAAGGTGGTCTCCATAATTGTGATTTTTTTTCTTAAGAGAGATTTTTGCTATGGGGTGTGTGTGCTCGCCAGAGAGATGTCCTGACCCGCAGGACAGTCGAACAGGTTTCCTGAGGGAAGGAGTGAGAGACGGGATGAGCAGCATGGAGAAGACCGAGTGTT